TTGTCTCTCTCTGGGACTAGTGAAGTGGCCAGATATTTTTTCTTTTCCTCCTCCCATTGCCTATTTCCATTGTGTATCTCCAAATTTGGCATAGGGTTGTTAAAGGTACATCCTTGCCTATTGCTTTTAGCATCCCTTTTAGTATGCTATATTGTCTAGTAAAAGTGTCCAGAGTATCACCTTTGTATTCTGTAAATAATGAAGATTGATCTCCAGGTGATTTGATTGTATAACCTCAGGTTGTAATACCTAACATTCTGCTGTTGTTAGGCTCACCAGCCTTTGAACAGAGCGTTATGATCCAGCCCTCAATACTTTATCCATGCTTTTTAAACTTGGAGATGTGTGTGCCAGTTATTATTTTTTTCTGCAGCTGAACCTGGAACCAGAGCTGCCTTCCAAAGGCGGCCTGGCAGCCTGTCTTCAGACAAGTGACTTGTCCTGAGCATATGGAATAGGATGGGCATTCCTTGTAGAAAAGTGGGGTTGAATTTTCTTGGTATAGCCAGAAGCAAAACAAAAATGTTGTTGTTTTCAAGGTGATGAGTGTATCAAAAAGTGTAGAAATGAACTGTGCATGTCTTTATTATTGTGTGATCCAAGTACTGGACATACAGGTCTTCATGCATTTGTTGGATCCCTCTCTCCTCCTGCAACTCTTGCATTAAAGCATTTCGTTACGGACGTGGTAAGCTATGGCGATGGTGGTGAAAGATGCCTGCTGAGCACACTGTTCCTTGGAGATGCTTGCAAGGAGGTTTTGCTACAGCTGTATACAAACTTATAAATTGCGCGGATTGTTAATTGTTTCCTTTCTCATATGCTTTTGCCTCTTAGGGAGAAAAGCTTCCACAGAATCAGTTAGGTTGGGAGTCTAAAACATCGTACCAGGCAGGGCTTGGTTTTTCCTATGGGTTTCTTTCCTACAGAAACACTTGTAATTCTCAACTCTATAAACAGCTGTTGGGAGTGTCTAAATTACATCGCATTTTTGGGCTGCTGCTGCAAGGAAAGGTTTTTGTTTTGCTTGCTTTGAAATCTCTGAGGATCTGGACCACAGTGGGAAATTACTTGTAAATACTAAGCGTTCGGTTGGATTTCAGTGCAGGAGGGTTTCTTGCATGACCAGGCGTGAGCATTTGAGAGGCGCAGCTTCTAAGAAGTCTCGAGGATAAAGGGGAGGACGGTTGGCGATACCATGCCTGCTGAGTTGGTTCCGCTGGCTCTAGAACGAGAGGTGGTGTTGCTGTACCTGTACTAGGGGAAATAACAGCTTGTTGCTTTAACTTAGGAGCAGTGGCATCAGCTCCTCTATCCTATTTCTGGAAGACCATCTGCTGTCTTTGCCTGCCTTTGCATTTTACCACTGCAGTGTAGTATTACAGTAGCCTTGGCGCTGCTCTGGTGTCTTGGTTCCGTGTGTTGTATGCCTCAAGTTACGAAAAGCAGAGAGGGAGGAGTACGCGATGAGGAACGAGGGGCAGAAGTAATGTGCTAACCTTCCAGAGAAGCTGTCTGGGGGTGGGGGGGAGTTCAGTGCAAACCAGGCGTGTTGCCTGACTTGATCACCTGTAAGCCACCGCAGAGGCCACGTTCAGCACTGATCTCTCGCATGCCGAAGAAACGTGTGGTAGGTGGCCTCCTCCGCAATCACTGCGCTCTTCTGCTCTCGAAATGCAGAACAAGTGTTCACATTAAAAGACCATGTTTGTACAGTGGCTGAGCAAAGACACTCAGTCTGTAAGCACCTCCACATTTTTAACATAGTAAACAAGTTAGATGTTTTAAATTATTGTCTTTCTATTACCTTTTTGTAGTTTGACTTGCATTTAGTGTCCTGATTTATTCCTCCTACGCTGCAGATAGCTAAATCTATTCTTTGATTTTATTATGTGACATCTCAGCCACGGTGGTTCTCTCATCCCTCTCGGAGTTCAGTGTTTATTTTAAAGCTACTTTTGATTTCGCCCTAATATCTGGGGTTTTGTATGCCTGTTGTTCCTTGCCTTCCTCTATTATTTTAATTCCCTGTGCAGTCATATTTCTGATTTATTTCTATACACTTACTATGAACTCAGGTTAAATGAGGAGGGAAAAAGCAACTAATATAATATGCTTCAGACTAAGAATAGAAAAGAAATTTTTTTTCAAAGCATAAGAAAAATCCATTGCGAATCTTTCTTCCGTGCTTTTACAAAGTAGGTGTATATGTGTAATCTAGAGTAATCATACGAACTCACAGGTTACTGTGTTACTTGTAACAGAGTCTGTAATGGCTGTGTCTCAAAATTAGGGTTAGTGTACTTAGTTCACCTTGCTGCCGTTGTTGCCCCGACACGCTGAGTGCCTGACTTTCTGTGACCGCTTGTTAACTCCATCTGGGATGAACAATATGGAACATTTTCTGAGTCAAACATGGCCATTATGTCCTCTGAGGAGCTCTAACTGATACACTTACTCTGTAAAGCTTAAATGAAAACAAGGTGTATTACTGCTTATAGATAGTTCAGCTGGCAGTAGTGCTTATATGGCTTGGCATTAAGGTGTTAAGGACATTCATGTCTATTTGAAAAGCTCTGTTGTGAGGATATACAGGTGGTGCTGCATCCTCCCGTCCAAGAAAAGGTTTTATTTCCCCTTTTCGTCTTTAACTGAGTAGTTATAGAATCACGGAATGGTTTGGGTTGGAAGGGACCCTAAAGACCATCCAGTTCCAACCCCCCTGCCATGGGCAGGGACACCTTCCACTAGACCAGGTTGCTCCAAGCCTCATCCAGCCTGGCCTTGGACACTTCCAGGGATGGGGCATCCACAGCTTCTCTGGGCAACCTGTTCCAGTTGTCACAGTGTGCGGCACCAGTACAGGTTTTAAAACGCAGAATAATTGTTAAATGAAATTCCATTGTACGTTAAATTAGTCAAGAGATAGTACTGGTTTATTTTTGCTGTTTTTATTTTTACTGGACTTTGTTTTAACCTTTAACCGATCTAGAAATAAGGACTTTGTAATACCCCCAGCATATCTGCCTTTTGTATTTGTTTTTTCCACCCTCAAAGCATAACCGCGTGGCATAAAAACTTGATGCATTTATTCAGCTTAGTCATAGCCAACTGTTCAGGGCTGAATTTCTGGTATAATACTGGGTGAATTATGTCCTGTGTTGGCAACTTTGCCATTTTGCCTAATTCTGGGATAGAGTCCCAGAACATGTATAAACACAGTATTATCAGCGGGAATGCTGAGTTAGTGCTCCGCAAGATCCCTCCTTGCACAGAGGATGGGGCAGAGAGGGGATGGACTGAGTAATTAAAGGTGAGGGGCCAGCTCTGCAGTGTGTGAGCCTGGGTCAGAGATGTGGGGGGAAGCAATTAGCACGCTGACCAAACTGCCTGCTGAGGGGTAGGCACCCCGTTATATTTGCTAATCGAATGCTAGTCGTTTGCTGTGTGTTTAAACAGGACACTTAAAGGGTCTATTATGGCATAATCAGGCCCATAACTAGTTGCAAATTGCAGTACGTATTACAGTGGGGATATACTACAACCCTGCTTGAAATACTTCTCTGAACCTCAAAAACTCTTTTCAAAGATTTAGTGGCATTTTGGCCTGTAGGGAAGTGCGCTGAGGCTTCTGCTGTTCGATGTTTCGCTTCCCTCACCCTCCCCATGAATGTATTAGAAAACAGAGAAGTATTTTAAAAATCTATCACTGTTAGTCTGCTAATAACCAATATTGCACAAACTTCTTCCTGCATGCAAAGCCAAAATTTGAAAGTTTGTATACGTTCTCTAAGTTCCATCTGTATCTTTGAATTTTTTCTATTCCTTCTGTCCCTTGCCTTCAAGAAATACTCAGGTATAATCCCTTCCAGTTTAGCCCACAACCATGCTTTTCAAGGCAATGGCCGTTGCAGGTATCCTGGGGAATAAAATACAGCAGTACACCGTTCAAGCTGGGGAGGGGGGAGAAACATGGAAGCAAAATCTTAGTTGGTGTTTTGTGTGTTTATCTATGGTTTTGTTTTGGGGTGGTTTTTTGTTACTTGTGGAGATTGGGATTTTTTCCCTGGAAGACAATACCCCTTATTGTGTCATTTGAAATTCCCTGTGCAGCAGTCCACCTGCTTATTCAGTAAAACACCTCAGGGTAAAGGGTTCATATTCTCTTTTTTTAATTTTTTTTTTTTTCCTGCCTACAAAGTAACCATTGTGCTTTAGCTCAAATAGTGAAATTTTAAATTGCTATTGGGAAAGACAGTAATGGAAAAAAAAGTGCTTAAATCTAAAAGAGTAGTTTTCTTAAAATCTGGATGACTGAACACTGGACATCATTTATTTATTTTTCTTAAAGCACACATACCCCACTTTTTTAACCTCCTTTATATAGTGTTGTCTTCCCATTGTCCTAATCTGGGTGCTTTGCTACATGGCAATGAATAAGCTCCTCTTCAAGCAGGCATTGTCACATAAATCCTCTGAAACGCTTTTTGCGCTGTTTTGACGTCTGAGAATTTTGGTGTAAAGGAACCCTGAAATATTTCTCCATCTCCCTTTTTCCTCCTGGCAACCATGTATCTGTTGCTTAGTTCAGCATACCCAAAATAAAAGGATGGTTGGTACTTTTTTTTTTTTAATTTTGATTTCCTAAAAATAGAACTATGTATATTTTTTTAGCTTTGAGGTCTGTCTGTGTCTTTGCTATTAGGAAATGTTGTTTGGTGTGCATATATAACAGCCAGCACTTCCTAGCTCACCTGAGGCTAACAACTTGTGTATAAGCTGTGCAAGTGCAGAAGAGGATGAGGGATAGGGTTTTTTTTGGTTTTTAATCTTTCTTGCCAAATATATAGAAATCTAAACCTCACTGGAATATATTTATAACTTATAAAATATAGACAATATGGTTTTGATGGGTTATATTATATATCTTCACTGAGTGATCAACTATTTGTGTGTTGTCTACTGTTAAATATTTATTTCTCTTGTATTTTTCCTTGCAGATTTGTTCCTTACTACGTCACCGAACTCACAAAACATTGAGTTTGAGACATGGGTAAATAAGGTAAGAGGGAAAAGCCAAATAACTATTCTGTTAGAGACAGAATTTTTGGGGTTTGGTGTTTTGGGGGGGGGATGTTTTGTTGGTGGTGGTTTTTTGTTTTGCAGGGTTTTTATTTTTTAAGGCACCTGGTATTCCTTGTTCCAGGAATGAGTGTACCAGTGCATTCAAACTGCACTATTGCATTCAACCTGCAGAATATCACTGGAGGAGATCCCGTACTCAGCCGAAGTTCTGCAGATTTTGTAACATCAGTATTAAGTGCGTCAGGCTGCCGTCGTACACCTTAGCAGGACGCGTGCTGTCGCCAGCTGTTCTGGCAGGTTACTGACAGCACGGCCGTTGAGGAAGAAAAGGCTGATCGGATTTTTTATTCTTGCTGTCTCAAAGATATGATTTCTTTATGTGAGTTTTCTTAGAACTGTGTTTTCAGGTCTTGGGCAAGGTGCTGTGGGACAGAGGTTCAAAACCTCACTTCTGACCGTTACAGTATGTACACAAGTGACAGTTGAGAAAATCCTGAGTCCTGTGTGAACCAGATATCACAAATGCAGCTCAGGGTTAGGCAGAAAGAGGTCAGAGGGTTGGCTTTTTGCACTCACTGAGATGCTGCTTTTGTGTTGCTTACTCTGATCAGTGAGGAACCTCAGCGTTAGTAACAATGAAATCAGTTGATTTGAAACTAGTGTATCCCTTACGCTAAATCTGTGTATCCAGAGGGACAATAGTCAGGAATTGCAGCATATTTTCACAGAGTGCATTTTTTTCCATAGCTGAGATGCCTTTTTGTTATCGACTTAATAGCAGGCTACTAGATAGTGGTAGTGCTGTTTATTGATGTCTGTTTTCTTTGGTTCAGGAGCTAAATTTTAGCACCTCATCTGCAATTCAGTTTTTCCATTAACTTTGCCCTGTTTGATAGGATGGGAACTTCTCTCAAGCTGGGAAAAAGCAAACGCCAAATGGTGTGAAAGTTGTTGGACAGTCCGTGTTTGCAGATTTTGGTGAGTTTTATTCTTCTAAAATATGCTGAGTGTTTATTTTTATTTGCTCTTTGATTTCGAGCAGCGAACCAATATATCAAAAGATGTTGAGAGCTAAAGGGTTGAGCTTTTTTTTTTTTTCCCCAGGTGGTATATCTAATTGACTGTAAATCTCGAAATATCTGAGAATAATATAAATTCAACTAAATATAACTTTGGCTATCCCAGCACATTCTGCATCACATGTACATTCACATCACCTTTGACTGCCACACTTAAGCACACGTACTTTTGCTTTGAGGCATGGTACAACACCAAACTCACCTTGATCCAAAGTATTTTGTTTGCCATGATTTTGGGGTTTTTTCCTTATTTTATTCAGAAGATATTCTTTGAGTAAATGTTTATAAATTCTTCACTTCTACATACTAATAAAGCCAAAATGTAAATGAATTAAAATTATTTGTATAAAGATGAAACACAGTAAAATCTTTATGGTTGTAATTGAAAATTCTGGAAGGTTTTTGGGCAGAAGAAAACTTAATTTATATGTAAGTCTATTTTTACAAGTATTAGCAAAAGCATATATTTTTCTATTGGAATGTACTTTTTCAGTCAGTTGTGTGTTATCAATGTATGTGTCCTGTTAGAAACAGGAAGTGTTGTTTTGTAGTTCAAATAAACCCTTTTTTCTGTGCACTAAAATATGAATTTTGCTACCCAAGGGAAGGTGCTGCAGGCTTCATTCTGCTGATACTATTGAATGTAAATAACTTCTTAAAGAATGGATTTGCTGTATTTATGCAGCACACTTGTTAATTGTGAAACAGCCTGTCTTAAATGTTGTCAAATGGTAGCCTCATTCCATCATTTAGATTTTAAGTCTGTTTTAAAGCAACTTTCAATTTTTAAAATGGAAAGTCAGACTCCATATTAGTGCTGCCAGTTAGAAGTACTCTTAAGAGTTCTGGCAAAGCTGTTTCCTGGTGTGTAACTAGAACACGCCTCTGCTGAATAGTTAATTCTCCTGAGATCCTTACCTAGCAACCCTCAGTGGGTTTACAGTTCCACACAAATGAAGTTAGGCAGAAGCTCAACAGTGCTCTGGGCTGTTCTGAGTGATGCTTAACACACTTCCTAAAGTCTTTGTAAAGGTTTTCGTAAAACCTTTTAACTGTTTGTCTACAAATGTAAACTCTTGTGTATGTAATACCTGAAGCAAGGAATAGAATACAATGGTTTTTGCAGTTAAAAAAAAATGTCAGGGTTTTTTTAACCATTTTCCAAGCTGATGTTCTGAATAATGTGTCTTAATAGGCACTAAGTAGAAATCAGAGTATTTTCTTTTTAATGATGGCAATGTGGTAAGCAATCTTTACGTAGGATAAATTCATCTCTGTTAGGTAGCTAATGAGCCCAAATGATAGAATTCTAGAAATGTACCATAATTAATAGAATTTTAATGAAAGCTGGGATATCTTCGCAGAGCCAAGTGGCACTGTTGAAATGCTAAAATTGTGTAAACGTGACTGAAGTGGGTGCGCAGTGATAGACCGGGGCAGTACCCCGTGTGGGTTGGGTACAGCCCAGGTTAAGGAAGACAAGGGCCGGTGCAGCCGCCGCGGCTGCTCTCTGCAGGTCCCTTCAGCAGCCGTTTGCCGCTCTGCGTTCACAGGCAGGGCACCAGTGTGAGGCAGCAGTGCAATCTGCCCAGTAGGAATGGCTCTAATGGGAGAAAAGCGTGCAGGGACTTAAGAAATGGATGCAGATAAATGTCGAGGGACAGCACGTCTGGCAGAGCGGATGGACTCATCAGTAGCATCTGTGGGCAGAGATGCTGGCTGTGCAGAAGCTGGCTTTTTGGAACTGGTTATTCTGAGAGATCTCAGCCATTTGATCTCTGAGAGAACACCCAGCACAGATTTTGCAGTGTGAGGGTCTTACTGCTTCTACCTGAACAGCTGCATGCACACCGTCCTATTCATCCTCATTCCAGGTCGCGCAGGTTCATCCAGGGCGAAGGGTGGGAAATGGTTTAACGGTCTTTCTGCCCATTAATTTCCCTGAGCGAGTGAAAGGAGATATATGTGTGTGTTTTGATAGAGGAACAGCTTTTATTCTGACAGCTATGGAGGTACTTATAACTATGATTTTGAATTTACTATTTGAATACTATTACAGTTTTAATTAATCTTTCTTCTGTTGTAACACTGGATAGGAAATTGTGTAGTGCATCAATTTTTTTTTAATTCCTCTTTGATCATTAAGTTAAAATAATCAAGGCGACAAGTTATTTTCTCACTGAACAGAGTTTTAGAGACTATCAAAGTGAATATGGTACTAAAACAATGTGTATGAGTAATGAAGGGCCACATTTCAAAATTCCATGTTCTTTATGAAATGTGGTCTGAATGAAGTTGAACAATACCCCACCACCATCCAAAAAATCCTACCTACAGCTAGATAGTTCGGTGTAGGAGTGGCTCTATGGTAGTTGGAGGAAAAAAGACTTAATCCATAGGAGGATCTTAAGTTGAGTTCTGCTCATGTTCATTTTCATTCCAGTATCTTTTATTCTGTACCAGTTTAACAGTGAAGCGTTGAGATGTCACATGAATAACACTACAATAACACTATATCGGAGTAACTATGTTTACCTACTGTGCTATGCCTGCATATGTTTAGATACTTACTTCAGGTACTACTGGGTAGGCATGTATCATTCTGGTCCTGCTTGTAGTGAGCTGATGTTGAAGAAAGTGCCTTATGTTGAATGATTTGTCAGACTTGAGCATCTCCTTTTCCACGTTTTCGCTGTTTCAAAAATGAGGACATCATTATTGTTGTAAGTCAAACGACACTAAGGTAGATTAGCAGTTTGGAATAGTCATTTGGCTATCTGTAATGGGGCCTGAAAGAAGTCTCTTTGCGCAACAAATCAAAATAGCACAATGAAATGTGAAATGAGAAGCGTGAGAAGATGGCACTACCTTCTACCTGAGTAGTTTTTGCCAAACTGGGCGATACACTAAGCAGAACGCACCATAGTGCCCTCAGTGTGCTCTGTGCATGCTGTGAGCATCTTCAGTGTATCGCTGGGATACAGCTGCTGTAAGTAGAAACACGTTCAGTACACACTCACAAGCCTGTTAGATTATTTCCATGTTGCCTGCTCTCCCTTTTCTTGACATTTTCTGTACCTCCTAGACAATATGCCAGCCTTGTGGTTTGCTGAAGGTCTCAGTGTTCCATATTTCTCTGTGCTTTCACTCTGCCACTTCTCATTTTCTTACCCTTGTGCATAGGAGACCTTGGAATGATGTCAGATCCAAACATGAGCTTGGGAGTTTGTCACTTGTGCTGCCACCTTCTCATTTACACCCACCTTTCTCTTTGTGGTACTTCTGCAGTCCCAGATTCTGATTTATTGATCTGAGCAAAACAGGTTTTGTTTCAAAAGTGACTTTGTCTAACACTACTGCTTCCCTGAGTTTTATTTGAAGTACCCTTTCCAGCCATAAGTATTTACTTGTCATTGAAAACAGGGGGGAGCTTTGTGTGAGATCCTGACTGAGACCCTCCAAAGGCAACTGATTTTGGGTAAGATTTCCTTCTTAAACTCTAAGGAGGCTGAACAACAGCTACCAAGTAGAAATTATTTAGATAAGTGGAGCTGGAAAAAACCAGCAATTAGGTGACTCATGAGAAACTGTCGGAGATGTTAGTGTCATCTTAGCACCAGGCGTTCCTGAAGTACTCAAATAATAAAGACACTTTTTTTTTCATGAAAAAGATGGGCAAATTATGTTTGTATGCATCTGTGTATATGTATGTGCAAGGTCCACTGCATTTTTGTATATATGCATGTGTATAATAAAATATGCAAAAGCAGGTGTATATGTATCATTATATTTATGGTAATATAGTAGACCTTAGGTTTTATGTCTCCACTGGAACCTCAGGAATAAGCAGCGCTCCCCTCTGTTACATGATAGCAGTGAGCTCTACCTTAGCCTGACCAAAGGACAGTGAAAAACTATCAAATCTGTATTGCCCTTTTAAAAATAAATTAGAAATGCTTTGTGACATATTTATTACAAATGGCATTTCAGTTGATTAAGGTGAGCGGAGCTGGGCACTAGAGAATTCTGCACTTACTTGGTTGACACATTGCTCCAAACAAGTCAGAGTTCTTTATTATTACTTTTCCTATTCTTCTCATGTCACTATGGTAATTGCAGTGCAGTGGTTGCTATAGCAAAAATGATTAATCCTCCATTGTTGTTATCTGTATGCTAGCAGAGGCTTTTTGTAAGATCTGCTTGTACTGTCTTCAGAGGGAATCATAGATGTTGGCTAGAATTCTGATAAATAATTGTAATTATAAAGAGTTTTAATAATTGCCACCTAAAATAGTGGAAAATTTTGTACTTGTTAAAGAAATTTAGGGGTTTCAGTGGGACGCTCTGAAAATGACCAATTTATTTCAGTAACAAGATGAATGTGAACCATATTTTGGACACACAAACCTGCTATTTTCTTGTTACTTTGAAGAATAATGAAATATGTCTTTAAATAGTGACCCAGAAGCAATTAGCATAGAATATTGTGCTGTTTATACAGTTCATTGATTCATTTTTATAGGAAGTTGATGCTGTAGCTCCTATCCAACTATGACTGGTTCAGCTGGATAGTGGAGTTGGATAAATCCTCCTTTGTGCTCTCTGATCTAAGAATGTGTAAGTTTGATTGATCCATTACTGGTTGTGCTTAGTTCAGGCAAAGACACTTGTTGCAGCCCGTAAGTAAAGAGAACAAAAATTAGCTTTTCAAAACCCAGCTGGATCATACTGTTGATAGTGTCCTCATAAGTAAATTCAACACGGCTCTTACTTCCTCAAGGTAGCATTTAGCCAACTCCACCTCAGTTCTTTATCATATACTCGCTGTTTTTCTTAGCTGCTGCCAATTGTTTATCTGTGTGGTCTTCCCTAATTTCTGATCTGTGTTTACTCTTACTG